TTTTCATACAATCACGTATAATATCACCAAATCAGTTGGTTTTGAAGTGACATACATATCTCTTAATACTACTTAATAAATAATAATAAATTTTACTTACTTACATAACGTAAGGTCTCCCAAAGCAAAATGATTTGGGTATTGACACTAATTTTTCTAAGAACCATCCACCCCTACTCCGCACATCCTCGGCGAATACAAATTAAAAAGTTACAAAAAGTCTTTCAAACGACTAGGTCGGTCTCTTATCGTGTCAATAGTTAACACACATGGTGTATTCCTTTTTTTCCGTAGGGTGTATTCCTTTGAACAAATTCAAACATACAAAAACAAGAGTAATTAATCACAATTAAATCAGTAATCATTAATAAATAAAAATCAAGTTCAATAGTGTTTTTTTAAGACACGATGAATGGTATCGGTCTTAACGCCTGAGTTACGAAACCGATAACTATTGATACGTTGTTGTAATATTGATTATACTTTGTAAAATTGGCTGCATCAGCAGAAATCATGGGAAAGGTATCGCTACTCATACTTTGTTGTAATAACGCGTAAACATAAGAGATTATAAATGTATGTGAAAATAATAATTAATTCGCTATGGCAATTTGTTTGTGTACTTTCATAGTCGAGGGTTCTTGCTTCAAGCCATAGTTATAGCCTTTGGTAAACGCCCGTAGGGTATAACCATCCCTAGTTCGAACTACCCCAACCTTTGGGAACTTGTAACTATTGTTAATAATCAATCAATAATAAAATTAATCGATAAATTCAGTGAAGTGTTCATTTAAATAAAAAAAATGAATTTTTAAAAAGAGGGCCCAAAAGGTAATTAGTGCAGTCTTAACGGTTCCTTTCTTCAAAATTCTGGACTCAGTGCTGAAAAGTGTTGCGACTTACTAAAAGTGAAAGGTTAAAGTACCCAAAATCCGTGAACCAACGTTATTGCTTGCAGCAATACTATCTAATACTATATACTATAGAACGAAGCTCGAGGAGTAACCTCCCAATCGAAAGAAACCTCCCAAAGTCAGACACAACAGTCACAACAACAATATTGAGTAAGGTTTCCCCAATCCATCAGGAGCAACCGTACAGCACGTAAGGTCTCCCCAACCAAGAGGATCATCGCATCGGACAACGAAAAAGAAAGACGAAGACAACGCAAAGTGAGTAATTTCAAAAGTTTTCTAGCTTCACAACAAAAAATTGTAATTTTAATTGTTTATTGTAACCATCGAACGACGTTAGAGTGTGTTCTAAACGTTAAATTGCTATTTAGAAGTAGTACTTGTAATTTTAATATTTGCAATAATTGTTTTTAAAATCTGAAATATTGAATAGACGCACGTTCTGAAGGAACACTGCAGAGAGTACATAATTTAGAACTGGACAGTCAGACAGAAGTAGAATTAGGTGATTTAAAATTTAAACGATTCATTTAGAAGCCTTAATATTTCCACGAGTTCAGAAAATCTGCTAGATGAGTCAGTAAATTCGGAAAACGCATTTAGAAGTTTTTCACGTGACGAACAATTAGGCAGACTTGCACACGAACAGAATAGGTTAATAACAGAATAACTCATTACAGCAGTCAGAAAGTATGGCGAAATTTTATCGAAAGTTGAAGGAAAAATAAATACAGTCAAGACGTTTATATTAAGAGTAGATAGTTATTACCAAAAATATGGTAACACCTTTGACGAAACATTAAGTAATTACGTATTTTGTCTAATCACATCAAAATTAGTAGGTGAAACTAGCGATTTAGTGAATTGTAGACCAGATATAACTTCCTGGCCAATATTAAAAGATGTTTTGAGGAATAAATTTGAAGATCATGTGGATAAGAAAATTTTAGCCCAAAAATTTAAGAATCTTACTTTGAAAGTAACCGAATCTTTACCAAATTTTATCGAACACATTAAAACAGCGCAAACACAACTAAATACGAAAATCATTCAGGACACAAATTAAAAAAAAATATAAATATTACTGAAGCAATTCCAACTGTACTAATTTTGTCAGTAAACATCAAAATGATAAAAAGGTAGACAATAGAAATATAACAATGAATAAATCACAAATTAACACAACTCATCATCAGTCCGAAACCTGCTAAATAAATTTCAGGAACTGCAAATTTCACAGAATTACACATCACGATAAGCAAATTGTAGAGGTCGATCGGTCGGTGATTTCCTTATGACCAGTAGAAATAGCAGCTACCAAAATTTTAGGAATTATCCTAGTGATACTAATAATCCTCCTATTAGAAATAATCATCTTCCTAATAATATAAATGTACCCAATACGCAAAATAACCAAGGTAGAAAACAGTGCGAAGTTTAAAACTTCAATTGAAATGTATAATAATGAAAAAAGTGAAGAAAACAAACGCACATATTTTATAGGGTATAACCATCCCTAGTTCGAGCTACCCCAACCTTTAGGAACTTGTAACCATTTGTAATAATTAATTAATAATAAGTGTTTGTTTAAATAAATAAAATAAATTTTTAAAAATAGTTACAAGAGGGCCCAAAAGGTAATTCTTGCCTCCAATAAATCCCATCTGGTCTTGAAATTTTTAACTCATCTTCTTAAGTCAAGTTTGGAGTGCCCATATAATGTTTTGGAAAACCCCGTTGTTTGATCTATTAGATGGTCGTAAATCGTCTTCTTTGTAGCTTTAGGACGGTTCGTCAACTCCATGGTCGTTTACATCGTCTTTTTCTGCGATAACCTTATTTTCCAGGCTAAATTACACTCCATTTCTCGCTATTTCACATTTTCGTGATGGTGTTATGTCCATGATAACAACGTCTCTGCTGATCTTTATTCTGTTCGTTTTCGTGTCTAGCAAACGACAGGCTTTGCATTCCTCTGAATATCCTATGAAAATCAGCTTTTCTACTTTCTCGTCTAATTTTCATCTTAACTTACCAGGAATAAATGCATATTCCTTGCAACTACATATACGCAGTTGCGCCACATCCGGAACCTTAGAACGCCACAGCTCACACGGTGTTTTGTTCTTGCATTTTGTTGGCAATCTAGTTTGTAAGAAGTTAGCCGTAAGAGTTGCCTCTCTCCAATACTACTTATTATCCAGGTTTCTATTGAAAAGCGTAAAGCGACACATTTTTAGAAGATACCTGTTTTCTCTCAGCGACACTGTTTTGTTGAGCAGAATAAGTAGCTGGGTATTGTGTTATAATCTCCTCCTTCTTTAGATAATCTTGGAGTTCTTTATTCACATACTCTTTTTCCCTGTCATATTGCACAATTGTTGGATTTCTTCCGAATTGCATATTCATCATTTCAACGAACCTTTTGATGTTACCAGGTGCCTCGGACTTTTTTTTAACAGATATATCGTAGTATAACGTGAAAAATCATCTATGACCGTTAGAATATATCTCTTTCTTCCAGGTGTTACAGTAGACATTGGTCCACGTGCAAAATGGCTGTTAACTTATTTCTACTTTCCTTCGGAAACGATTTTCGGGTTAATTTACGTTTTACATGGATGTTGCATATTTCCCTTAGTCTGTAATGTTTCACTTCTATTCTTATGAGAAGGTTCATTTGGGGTAATTGCTTTATTGCTTCTGGATGTCTTGTCGGTGTGGACAGCTTTAACGGTGCATGCTTTGTCGGCTGTTCTTAATTCATAAAGTTCGGAACGCAACGTTGCACTACAGTTTTCCACCTTTTGAGAGCTCCATAAAATTTTAACACATGCTCTCCGACTGCCAATCTTTTAACTGACAATAGATTTGACCCTACCTTAGGTACCTACATACAACACTTTTTGAATTTCACCTCTTTTCGACTCAGTGTCATATGTGATACAGTTTCAACATCATGAATTTCTAGAAGTTTTTCTTCATTAGCTAGTCGAACATGATCCCTTTGTTGCGATCTAAATTCTTTCTGATATGACATATGGCTTGCAGCTCCAGAATCCAGATGATTATCCATTTGTTGGTATTTTTTCCCGTTTCTCTAGCACTATAATGTAATTGTTCTTGAGAATTTTCATTTATTTCGTTTTCTTTATCGCTACGAAACACGAATCACTACCGTTACTAAAATCTTCTTGCCTACTAACTTTATTCACCCTACTTTTTTTATTTGTGTTTTGCTGCTTCTGTTTTCGTCTAGTATGATTATTATAAGTATTACATTTGTCGCTACCTCCGGTTAATACCTACCGTGTTTTACCTATTTGTGCGACACATTTATTTTGTTTTGTAGATAATGGGTAGTATGTTTTCCAAAATTTCGTTAGAATTAAAAATTGTCCAAAAGTAAACCAGACACGTGATAAATCGATTTCTGTATATAATAACTGTCTCGGGAGCGCTTACTGTTTGCCAATCAGGGTATATTTGAATAGTCTTCGGCACTCATCAATTCTTATAGGCCTAGAACTGGGCAGTAGATTTCTTTTTTTTGTTTCCGTGGAAGAGAGAAATCGTTAAAAGACACCCAGCCGTCCTTACTACTGGGTAGTGTCGTTTTCCCGAGGAAGGTGTCTTCGGAACTACCGACTAAAAACCCACTATCTCAGGCCATTGAAGGACTTTTTCAGCTGGTATAGTTTTGGAAATGTTATGTGATTTTTATGTTTTTAGTTTAACAAGATTTCAACGCCACCCGGACTATAAACAAATTTTACGGGAACAATTTCGCATAACGGCGAGGACAGCTCTCTAGGACTAAGGGAAGCGCCCCGATTAAACAATTACAATATATGTCTTGAATTTTCTAGATATTCCTTCGTTGTTCTATGGATAACTCGACCTTCAAGAGAGTCTTACTATTGATAGATACAGAACGTAAGTCCCATATCAATAATTAACAAAATGAAAGTATAATTTACAGAAAATATAATGCATTATTATGTATGATGATTAGTAGGGTGTTTTGAAAAGTCGTGAAGAAATATTGGGTCTGAAAGTAGTGCAGAGTCTAGATACAACATATTGTTTAATGAGCATTGTAATAATATTTTTTTTTTGTTATCCTTTAGATTTCCATTGGTGAAAAATGAGTTCGTGTGCTTTCTCATGTGAAATGTAAGTAAGAATATTGATTGGTTTATTTGCATTTGATCAATACAATATTTTCAAGTTGTGCTATCGGAGGAATTAATGTACCTAGACCTTCGTATATTTAATTGAATGTTCGAAGGATGAACACGTGAGCTGAAACAAAATTAACGGCGGACAAGGGTGAACTAGCCAAAAATTATTTCAACCTGCATCAAAAAAGTAACCTCTTCTATTATCTGACCATGTCCATTTATCAATATTTCAGATGACGTTAAAATATCCATCTCAGCTCTTATACTATTACACTCAAACCTTCATCCAACACTCCAAAATATCGATCCGAAAATTTCCAGAAATGTCGCTAATATTTGGGGAAAACAGTTAATGCATATAGGAAGCATATGAGTTGAAAGAAATTGTACCTACAAATTAATCCTTGTAAATGTAAGTCCCATATCAATAATTAACAAAATGAAAGTATAATTTACAGAAAATATAGTGCATTATTTATTAAGTATGATGATTAGTAGGGTGTTTTGAAAAGTTGTGAAGAAATATTGGGTCTGAAAATACTGCAGAGTCTAGATACAACATATTGTTTAATGAGCATTGTAATAATAATTTTTTTTTGTTATCGTTTAGATTTCCATTGGTGAAAAATGAGTTCGCGTGCTTTCTCATGTGAAATGTAAGTAAGAATATTGATTGGTTTATTTGCATTTGATCAATACAATATTTTCAAGTTGTGCTATCGGAGGAATTAATGTACCTAGACCTTCGTATATTTAATTGAATGTTCGAAGGATGAACACGTGAGCTGAAACAAAATTAACGGCGGACAAGGGTGAACTAGCCAAAAATTATTTCAACCTGCATCAAAAAAGTAACCTCTTCTATTATCTGACCATGTCCATTTATCAATATTTCAGATGACGTTAAAATATCCATCTCAGCTCTTATACTATTACACTCAAACCTTCATCCAACACTCCAAAATATCGATCCGAAAATTTCCAGAAATGTCGCTAATATTTGGGGAAAACAGTTAATGCATATAGGAAGCATATGAGTTGAAAGAAATTGTACCTACAAATTAATCCTTGTAAATGTAAGTCCCATATCAATAATTAACAAAATGAAAGTATAATTTACAGAAAATATAGTGCATTATTTATTAAGTATGATGATTAGTAGGGTGTTTTGAAAAGTCGTGAAGAAATGTCGAGTCTGAAAATACTGCAGAGTCTAGATACAACATATTGTCTAATGAACATTATAATAATAATAATCTTCTTTTGTTATTATTTAGGTTTTCATGGGCGAAGGATGAGTTCCTGTGCTTTTTTGGGTGACGTGTAAGTAGGAGTATAAATTGATTATTTGCGTTTGGTCAATAAAATATTTTCTAGTTACGCTATTGAGGTAGTAACCTGTATAAAATCTTTGAAACGTTGAAATCTCGTGTCCAGATTCTATACTACTATACTTAAACCCTCATCTAACACTCCAGAACATCGATTCGAAAATTTTTAGAAAAGTCGCGAATCCTTGTGGGATGCAGTTAATGCCCTGAAGTTGTATCTAAAAGTAAATACTTGTACTTCTAGTAATATTTAAATTGTTTTAGATATTCAAACATTGTTTAATGGGCCAATATTGCTTACGTATCAGAGAACCTACCGTGCGTATACCTAGAAGGTAAGTGTAACTGTTCATAGGTTAATATCAAGTACAGAATGCATAAGGGCATTACTTTTCATGATGATCATTCGGGTATGTTTTGAAACAGTTGTGAAGAGATGTGTAGGATCTGAAAGCATTTTAGAATACTAATGCGATATGTGTTTGTCTAATAAACATTTACAGTCATAACTTTTTCGTTATTATTTAGGTTTCCACGGCAGATAAACGAGTTCCTGCAGGTTTTGGCTAGAAGTGTAAGTACAAGTAGAAATATAAAGTAATTTATCTACCTATAATCAGCAAGAGATTTTTAAAATTATAATGGGAATATTCTTCCTCCTTCCTAGTAATTTTTTGGATGGATTATTTGTTTCGCTTCTATTTGCAATTCCCTGATGTTTTGAAAGCATTAAACTCTGTTTCTGCCAGTGCCGTAAGTTATTATGCTCCTACAAGGTCCTACATCCGCGCGCTTATGTGGTAACAAGAATAAATTTATCATTTAATAAGTAAATTTTTGTTTATAAGTACTTTTGAATATATTCTGTTTAGGTAAAAAACAATAAAAAATTATTAGATATTCATTTTTATTAAAGTGAAACTTTTATTACATCGCCTTAAATTTTTTCATCTATATATCGCATGTCGCATTACAGCCAGCCGCGGTGTAGGGGTGAAACTGAAATGCGCTGCTCGCTAATATGACGGCGCCCATGGCTCGCATGAGCTAACCGTGTAGCATTTATATTCTCACTCATTCGTGCAAGTGCATGACAATTACATTTATAGACTGTGAAACTCAAAGCGAAGATAAAATTATTGATAGAATAACTGAAGTTCAAATTGATTCAATGATTTAATAAATGTTGTTCTCAGTTTTTAACATGCGTCTATCATCTAAATGATTGTATTTATTATGTATTCCGTACTCTCATACGCAGATTGAAATTAAAATTTATTGTTGGATATCTTGCCTACTATTGATATCGCATTATCATTCTTATTTTCTAATCATTAAGATAAAATTAAGAACGCGATAATTTTAAATCGAATAATTTTCCGAAAATTTACAGTTAAATGCCTACATCCGAAAAGTTTCACTTGCATCGTGGTTTCATAAAACCACAGAATTGTTTTTTTTTTGTTATTGTATTAATAGTTTTAGGTAAACGACAAAAATATGAAATTTAATATACCTAAATGTGGTTGCGATTTTTAGATCTTTTTAATTATTTATTTTTTCTTTTACATTTTGAATCACAAATATTACCATTTTTCATGTAAATAAATTCGACGAACACGTCAATAAATAAAAGGAATTTATATAATGAAATACTAACATTGCTTACCTATATTAAAAAAGTATTGTAAAATTATTACCATTTAATACCAGAATTAAGAACAAACACGAAGTGAAATATTAGGTTATAAAAAATCAGAATTAACAGATTTTTTTTAATTTTAATTATTAAGGTCATCAGTAAAAACCACTATTCCTTCTGTTTTAAATTCACTTAAGTACATATTCAAGATCAAATACGGCCGGACGTACTGGGGTAAGATCAGCCATGTCACATCAAGTTCAGAAATGTTAAAATATGGAATTCTAAAATAACACTTCAATCAGGCTATCCAGATCAGAATCTAATCAGGCAGATCTAGTAAGTGTTTTCATATCAGTACCATATCAGAGCTACATTTCAATACCTTCGTAATGCTTCGATGCGGTCTAGAAAATGCTAGAATTTTCCCTAAGAAATTTCTGCTCGAGATATATGTATACACCCGCATCCATACAATTAAAAATATTGTATATATATATTGAGATAAGCCAGGACGGAAGGTAGGCAGATAAAGCAGAGGATAGCGCAGGGTCGTGTCGCCTTTAATAAAAAGAAGTCACTTCTATACTCGCGAACGGTTAATTTGGAAATTCGAAAAAGGTTGTTAAATGTGTATGCTTGGAACGCGGCGTTGTGCGGGTTCGAAAAATGAACAATAGGTGCGGAGGAAAAGAAAATGTTAGAAGCGTTCGAAATGTGGTGTTATAGACGAATGATGAGGATAACGTGGATAAAAAAGGTTAGAAATGAAGAAGTATTAGAAAGAATAGGAGAACAGAGGACTCTATGGAAATCAATAAGACATAGGCGAGATAGGTTGGTAGGACACCTTCTCAGACATGAAGGTCTAGTCAGAGACATTTTAGAGGCAGAAACAGGAGTTAGGAGGGGTAGAGGTAGACCTAGATTAGATTACTGTTCGCAAATAGTTAAGGACGTGGGTTGTTCTAGCTCAGAATAGGAAAGAGTGGAGGTACATGTCCAACAAGTCTTAGGACTGACGACCTTATGATGATGTTGATATTCTACTGCCTATCATGCATGACCCAAAGTTGATTCTGGTAATTTCGGAGCTTCCACGTAAACGGCATATTTCCAAATTCCATAAATGGGTAACATTTGCTCAGTAACCTTTTTTTTTCTGCGAAGACGTCGTTCACGTATACTTCCGGCAAGTTTCTACTTTATAAAACATTTAAAATTTTTAATTAATAAACTAATTTGGCGGTTCCTTTTTCAGCAACACAAATGAAGTGACTTAATAACTAAATAGAAATGTAAAATGTAGCAATGTACTACAGATTGCGTTTACTGAGCCATTTGTGGTATTGTTCTGTGTTCTGTCGGGCTGCCTGCGACGCGCTCATGAGATCGAAAAAGATCGAAATCGCGATCCGCGTCTGACAGTTTCGACAGAATGCAGACCACTTCGAATTATTTTATTCGATTATGGTAACGCGCCTATCACGTGGTGGTTAGCTACGCCGGGATTCGTTTCAGCAAGTAGATATCCATATATTTAAATGGACCTTGTTGGAGCACACGTAATCCTAAAATGTAGCAACGTACTACAGATGGCGTTTACCGCGCCATTTGTGGTATTTTCTAAAACGCGCTGTTAAGACAGCAGGTAAAAGTTGGTCTGTGTTCTGTCGGAGCTACCTGCGACGCGCTGATGAGATCCAAAAAGATCGAAGTCGTGGTCCGCGTTTGGCAGTTTCGACAGAATACAGACAACTTCCAATTATTTTATTTGAAGACTTTCGTTTGTTAATTGTTAATGATTTTTTTGTTTACCGCTGTTAAAGGTCGGAGCGTATGACACTGGATCGTCATTACATTCGCCGTGAAGACCGCCTAACGTGCAATACTAACCACTAGGAGCAACACTTACTAAATGCGCACCGTAATAACACCGTCGATCGGATCCTACGAGCTCATAATAATACAAACACCGTTTTTCTTGTCCGCACGATACAAAAAGCAGCGGTTCTGTCTATGCATTTAGTAGTATCCGGGAAAAACACCGAATCGATTGCAAGTTCGTCTGGTCTGGTCGAAATTTTTCCGCGGTTTCCTTCGATTACACTGCACAGCATAGAGTTTCGTTATCATAGAGGTAGCCAGTAACATGTGAATGCTTGTTTCATTACAAGGGACTTCTACGCAGCGTTCTTTCTCAATCCTGATATCCTAGTAGAGCATGGATTAAATGGGGGTGGCGCTCTCTATTTCTATATGTTCCTGACATCAACGACGCAGTAGCGTTCCAAACGTTCGCTAAAGAAACGACGACTCCTGCGTCACACTGGAGCAACTGGAGCTATTTGACACACACAATTACTAGCCGTCGCCTACTTCGACGAATCCGATTATTATTGTTATTAGTTTGTTTTTCTTTTTTTGGGTTGCTTTTGTGTTCTTCGTTGTTTCTTACTTATATAAGTGAATAAATGAATTGGTATTTCTTCGGTCAACTTTATTTCCTTAATCCTAACATCGCTGCGTAGCGGAAAAATCATCATTTAATTGCGTGGGCGGTAACAAGGTGTAAAAGTTTCTTTAAGTGAATAATTTGTCCTTTTGCTACTGGAATCAGATTAAGATTTTCATATAGGTAAGTACATACTAATTCTTTAGTTTTAGGTTGAGTATTTATGATTAAGGAGCTGTTCCGTCGTAAGCACAACTAAACGTGTGGGAAGGTCTTCCATCAATGACGTTATAAGAATAAAAATATATTATTAATATTATTATTTATAATTTCGTATTGTGGTGTGTTTGATAACAATTATACCGTTCTGGTGATGTGGTTGGAGAAATTTTGTGTCTGAGATGAGATGTTCCGGTAGAATGGCAATTAGAAAGCCTGGATTGAAGCTGCGTAAGGAAATCGCTGTGGCCTAGGTAGAAATTCAGAAACTCAAGGATTAAATATCATCCATAACATCGCTGTTGATGATGACGATTAGAGTGCTGGATATGGTCCTTTATATAGTGGAAAAATATATAAAAATGAGGAAGTGAACATAACGGTCTTCGGAATGTTCGCTGGTGATATTGGAATATCCATAGGCTTCCAGTTGTCATTCCTTTGCAACACAATTTACAGAGGCGGAACAAAGGTATGCAATTAATTTGAAAAAGAAGAAATTTCAAATATCATCCTCAATAAGTAATTTATTTTTAAAAGAACACCCTTTTACTACGTTATTAAATTTAGTGTAATAAAATGCTGCGTCAATTTAATACGGAGGTACGTGATACTTTGGTGGCGCACTGGACCCCGCGGTTCAACAGACCCCACTCTGCTCTACCCATACTAAAACTGTAGTTTTGGAATGATTTGGCATTTTCATTAAATCAAAAAATCTGTATAAAAAATATAAAAATATCATGAAACGTCTATCAGCGTATTTTTGAACCACTGAAGGTTATCTGTTCTATAATGGTAGATGTATCAAGTTTATTACAAAACTTCAATTGGAAATTGTANATTAATATATTATATAATTAACAAAATTGAGGGCCATTTTACGGGTAATGTGTGTCACAATTGTTTATAATTCTTCAACGTTTTTGCTCTTTACAGCTATGCTTGAAGTGATCTTGAATCTAAAAATTCAAGTTCATTTCACCAAAATACAATTAATATTTTGTTCAAGAGTATTTGTTACTAACGCCTTCGCTGATGTATGTTTCTTGCAATCTTTTACGCTGTAAGTAGTGTTGATATATATGTTCATGGTGAAGTAATTTTTATTAGGTAGATGAGAAGCATTCTACATTAAAAAAGTTTTAAGTTTATTTTATTATAGAATTAATAATTGCATAAACACTAGCAAACTCACGCGTAAGCAGAGTGAACACTCACTAGTGTATATCGGAATTTCCATGTTTTAATTTTGCCAGGCATCCCAGGATGACTACTTTATCCTTTGGGTGTTAGGTTACGTTTTGACAGGAAAAGTAACTTTTATTTAAAATCAAATCTAAAAACTTCCGCCGAGTGGCCGATTTTGACAATGGCATATTACGTGTAGTTCTGTTTTAATTCAGCCTCAACTGTTGTGGCCAGAAAGAACAAATAAAGATTGCCAGTACTAAATATCTAAATTTGAGAATAATCGTAAATAGGTTACCTTCTTTAGGGATTTGAAGAGAACTAAAAACTAAAGGCAAATTGGGCATTTATATAGATAGTAATTGATGTTATGGCTTAATATTCAGTGGACCTTATAACCCAGCAACAAGACAAATATAGCCAAGAATTAGGAATAGGACCCTTGTGACTGTTAAGAGAGTTCTATCGGTAGCTACAACCTACCTAAAGCTGTTAACAAATTACTTCTAAAGCTATGTTATAGTCTTTACAATCAATTTCGTATATTCTCGACTTCTCTAGAAAACAAATTTGATCCGCATATATATCGAGAAGAGTTTGAAGGGTGTTCAAGTTCAACTATACGCAATTCTAAAAAGCTAAGTTTACGAAAAATACCTTCGAGTCCTTGAGTAAATCCTGCATCCTCGTACAGCATAGTAATTAACATGGTTTTAATGGCATCGTTTGATACAACCTGTTCAAAATTTGTTGATGTAAAATTCTCAGAAACGAGACAGGTCAATTTTCGAAAGCCAGTGGCGCACATTTAAATCTTAGTAGTGATTGAATGTTTGCTGGACACTGGATGAAACATACACACATTTTTAATTAACACAAACCGAAATGTAATTATTGTAAATGGTATAAAAAAATAAATAATAAGAATAAAAAGCACGACAGGGGGTCTGGGTACAAGAATCGAAAAAATTAATAGAATATTTTCTAATACACATATGGGTTGTATTTACTTACCTCTTCAAATATTTAAAAATGTATATTTCGTCAAGTACCCAGCGACCTTTCAATTATTACGAAGATTTAAAAATACTCCACTCCTTATATGCGAAAGCCGGCGCAGAGATTTGTGTTCTGAGAATTGGTACCTGTCTCGTTTCTGAGAATTTTACATAAACAAATTTTGAACAGGCTCTACTTTCTGTACTTACTTATTAATAACAGTAACTGTTGGGGAGTTACACCTGAGAATAATAATTGGAGGTTATCGTTGGCTAATGGGATTTCAGTGGGTCATCATCGTCGCGACGGAGGGTTTGTAACGGTCGGCGGTTCGTCGTCGTAGCCGACGGAGGGTGGGTTGTCGTTGGTGATTCGTTCGCGCATGCTTCGAAGGATTGGTGACGGTCAGTGTGTCGTTAATGTAGACGACAGGGTGCTGTTGAGACGGGGGTGGCTATTCCTGGTTCGTCGGCATAGGCTACAAAGAGCTGGTAAGACTTTAGCGTAGGTTTCGCAGGACTAGGGGCGGCAGGTGGCTTATCGGCGTAGGCGTCGAAGGGGTGGTTGTAGTCGGCACTGGTATGCTGGTAAGGTGACGGGGAGGTGGTGACACATAGTGGCTCGTCGGCGTAGGTTACATTGGGCTACTGACAACTTTTCAAGCTCCTTCATACAAAACTTTTAGAGTTCATCGGCGTCAAGGATTACATCACAGAAACTCTAACTAAATTATAAAAAATTGAAACTTGTGCTGTTGGGATCCTTCATATGTACTACTCTATTTGGCGACATACAGTACGCAGAATTGATTAATTTAAAAAGAATTATTGTGTAATTAAACGTAAGCTAGAAAATACCACAAATGGCACGGAAAACGCCATCTGTAGTACGACGCTACATTTTGGGATTACGTATGCTCCAACAAGGTCCATTTAAATATATGGATATCTACTTGCTGAAACGAATCCCGGCGTAGCTAACCTCAACGTGATAGGCACGTTACCGTAATCGTGGTTTTTGTGGTATTTTCTAAAACGCGCTGTTCAGATAGCAGGTAAAAGTTGGTCTGTGTTCTGTCGCAGCTGCCTGCGACGCGCTGATGAGATCCAAAAAGATCGAAATCGCGATCCTCGTCTGGCAGTTTCGACAGAATACAGGCCACTTCGAATTATTTTATTAAACGTAAGCTATTATTATTTTTTAGCAAAACTTAATTAATCAGTCACAAAAGATCATTTCTGTGAAAAACCAATCACAAACTATTGGCATTGGCACTCATTAATGTTTGGCCAGTTAAAATTGAGAAAATCGAAACACAACAACATTGATTTCTTTAGAAATTATTTAGTTACTGCCTTATCAATTTTCAAATCCGTTTTACAATCTCTATTCGTATGCAGACGTTACTATTGAAGATACGAACTTCGAAGAGTAAGATGGAAATGTAACAATAAGTAGAGGGTAACCTGAAATAATAAATTGGCAGAAAGTGAGACTAGGGAATAAAGAAAGAGAAAATATTATCAGAATTTAAATGCATGGCTTTTGAGCAAGGGCGCAACAACGTTACAGTTTGACTGGGTGCTTCCATCATAATGGTATAAATATTTATATACTGAGGGCTGTACAAGCTGAAAAGATCGAGTTCGGCTCCTCATTTACGAGTTTGAACTATTTGAACATAACAATCAAGTTGGGTTATTATCTGAATCGACTGAAATTGACTGGGTGCCCAACCCAATCGAGTGGCATCCGTGGACCCCCCCCCCCCTTGTTGCGCCCCTGCTTTTGTGTTATATTATATTCTTTTATATATTATTATTGTACGTTCAGGAAATTATGATAATTATTAGAAATACGTAATAGTATAATTAAAAGGACTTCACAGACAATGTCAACATTGTAATTCAGTTTGCCTTTTTCTGTTACTCTATTTCTTTGCATTTCAGAACATGGGTGGCAGAAGGGGCTGAACTGACTTACGTTATCATCAAAACGGAAATCATCACTATTCGCAGTTTGTGTCATTTTCCTGCAAATTGTGTTTAAACAATTGAATAATCGGAAAATGAATTGAAAATCTTTAAGGCTTTTTTCCATCTTCCTCGTTAGTTTCAATAAGGTATGCTGAAACTTTCGAGAAAGCAAGGAAACGGCTCTAAGGAAATCGTCGAAGGCTGTAATAGAAAGTAAAAACTTTTTTGTGTGGAATTCAGGCATTTTTATTTATTTTTAATAGCATAACAAATAATTAAATAATCTATAATATTACTATTGAATAATAAAATGTATAAATTTTAGCAGTTTACATAAATGCGCATTGACGAAATTGATCGTATATAAACCGGAAGCAAACATCCACGCACAAGTACAAGCATTTTTTCTGACTTTCGATCATATATTGACTTTGTCCAAATTATTAGTTTCGAAGGACAAAGCACCTATGTACATTGTTTTGTTTTTCTTTTCTCATATAAGTAGGTACATCGTTCATAAATATTTTAAGTTATCAACTAAATGTTACATTCACTTTATGAAACATATATGTAAT